CCTCGTCTCTACCATAATCAAAAATTAGCCGAGCGTGGTAGTGCGCCTGTAGTTCCAGCTGCTTGGAAGGCTGAGGCAGAAGATTGCTGGAGCCCAGCAGGTTGAGGCTGCAGTGGCCAGGATTGTGCTACTGCACTCCAGTCTGGGTGACAGTGAGACTTCAACTCAAAAAAAAAAAAAAATAGTTATGTTATGTGAATTTTACCTCAAGGAAACACACACACACACACACACACACACATGCGTGTGTGTGCAGGCTCAATACAAGTGGATAAAGTCTGTCAGGAAGCCTCTAAGGGAGGACATCGCTGGACTGCTGGGGAAGAGACCTGGTTGATTTTCTTTCCTTATCCTTCTCATTAGATTGTGAACTCCTTGGGGTGGGGGATGGGTGGGGGGAGGAGGTGATGATTATATTATACTTATCACTGTATGCCCCACAAGGCATAGTATATAGCAAGTGCTCGATCTGTCTTGAATGAGCCTGAATTATCAGACATTAAACATAAAGACAAAATAGCATTTTTCTCTTAAGTTGGGTTTTTTTAACATGTTTAAATTTAAATAGTTTCTCTGTTACAATAATGTAAAGATAAACTTGATTAAATAATAAAACTGGATTCACGTCATATCAAACTATCCAGAAGACAAAGGAAAATTTCAGTTATCCAGATATTTGCCCTACCCATTCTAACGGGTGTTTCAGAATGTATTTACTAAAATGTTCACTCTTCATACAGGTGTTATCAGTGACAATGCAGGCAAAGCCTACATTTACCTATTGCTAAGCCCAGTGTTAATTAACTAACATGGGTTCCTTTATTTTTCTCTTGCTTCCAGGGACTCCCTAATTAAAATTCTCTGTAGTTCTACAAAAGCAAAAACTGGAAGATTTTCTGTCTTTGGCAACTGTAGGAAGTACTTGCCTAGAGGATTCATGGATATATCCTCTTTCTTGATGGCTTATGTGAAAGAGGATACCTCACATGAGCCAAGCTTGTGAATTTGAATATTTCTTAACTAAATCCCAGTAGTCAAGCCAATGTTTACCTCAAGTCAAGATGGGGTGATGATGGCGAGTTGAGAAAGACAAATGATAGGCTTACGTGGTACTCCCTGAGACTGGATCTATGAAAACATTCTCACAATTCTATTTCAACTGATAAATAAACCATCTATTTCAAATGTTGGCATTCATAATATAGAAACATTTTAAAATGGGAAATATGACCTTATGTAGAGAGATAATGAATTGCTTAACTCTTTAGAAGTGGACTCATCTATACATCCATAGTAGGATTGTGTAAACAGCTCTAATAACCAGCAGACATGAGTATTGCTCAGCATTTTCTTCAGCATTAACACTGTCTTTTTGATCAAATGTCTCCACTGACAAGTCTCATTCTATGTCAGGATACTTGATTTTCATAATTTTTCTTGTCTAAAAGTAAAATATTTTCAAAGGAACACAAACTTGACCTATAAAGATAACAAAGTTACAACCCATTTGACAATACAAAGTGGCAACTGTTACTTAATAGTAAATTTAATGAGAAATTCAATGAAAAGCTGTAGAAAGAGGTTTCAACTATAGATGAGACATGAGTGCAAAGCTAATCTTTATAAATGGTACAAATAGAGGACATGTATGTCTTCAGGCTGAAGAACTTCATATTATTAATGTATATTCCTGAGTAATTAAAAAAAAATCTCGTTTGACACTATTCCCTAGTTTCATCATTGCATTAGGTCAGCAATACAAGCACAAGTTAATTATAACCTCAGGTTGCTAGCCAGGGAGGAGTCACTTCCTGGATATTACCCTTATTCTGCTTGCAAGTATGTTTGATTTCTTTCTTTCTTCCCTTCCTTCCTTCCTTCCTTCCTTCCTTCCTTCCTTCCTTCCTTCCTTCCTTCCTTCCTTCCTTCTCCCATTCCCTTCTTTCCTTCTTTTCTTTCCTGGGCAGTATATATCAACAATAAAACTTGTTTTAAAAATAGATTTTCATAAGTATAAATAGTAGTTTAGAATAATAGCTCTTCTCCACGCTACAATATTTATTTTATTATTTTGTGCTATACCCTAAAACATTTTAAAGCTAACAAATTAAACAAAAAAATTCAGTTAACAGAGTTATTTTAATATTGTGAAAGTTCATTTGGCTAACTTTTGGATTCATTCAAATTTAGCTGACTTTAAATTTCACCACTGGATAGAAGAGAACTTTCTTGGTTCCAGGGTAACAGCCTTCATGAGAATATACTGGACATGAAGTAGTTAATATGAGCAAAATTCTATTAAAAATTTCACTAATCCAAAACACATAAGCCTGGGAAGAAAAGTTTTCAAATTCACTGAAACTTAGATCAATCTGATGTTTTCCCCCAAGCAGTAGAGGATGTAATGCAGTGGGGTTACAACATTTGCTTTAAACAATTACAACAATGAAGAAACCAATATTAGTACTTGATACATAATAAATGTTCAAATATTTGTTAAATGAGTAAATAAATGAATGAACATATTAGTAAATAAATATATTGTAATTTTTTTTCCTTTTTAAATCATAGTTAGAAGATATGCTGCCGAAAATAAATAAGTATTCAAGGATTGTTCTTCTTTGCTATATTAATAGTGGACAAGTCACTGGATGGTTTCTTGAGTTTATGCAAGAACCACATAGTGGACGTGTAGATGTTATATTGTTCGTACTTGTTTTAAAGCACCAGTTTTTAATAAAGCCAAATACCAACTTCTTTCCTCTTACAATTAAAACAATATGTTCATGATTCTATTTAGTACCTGATGAACTTTTAGGATGGCAAATACACACTACTTCTTCAGAGTGGAGGGGATTGCATGGGGCCATTAAACCCTCCAGCCTGATTCACATTTGCTAGAGGGAAGTCTGTCTCCATACAAGTTCACTGCCTCATCCAGGTTGGCATGCAACCTCATTCTCATTATCCCATGTCAGCAAAATAGATCATATGAGGAATAAGCTCTTTTCAGGCATGTGTTTTGTCTTGAATTGGAAAGAGGAGGGGTCAAGGGGAAAGGGAGAAAAAAGAGAAGTCAAATAAGTTGAGCTTCCAATATGTGTCATTCTGCTAGGGGATTTTTTTACAAGTATTCAGCAGGTCTTCTTTACTAATGTCCTCTGTCTCATAAGTTCCAACATTCTAGATTGAGGGGAAAACATAAAAAGGCTCAGAGATGTCACAGAGCAAGACATTATAAATTTACGTGAAAATCAATTACCCCCCAAAATAAGTGTTTTACAAACACAGTGTCTCTACTAGGGGATTTATGTTTATGACCTTATCTAATAGTTACAACTCTATGAGATGTTCTTCTCTTACAAAGGACAAAAACCTTGACACTTTCTAGGTTATGTGATTCACCAAAGACCACACACCGATAGTAGCAGAACTGAGAGGCAAACTCAAGTTTATCTGGTACCAAAGCCTTCCTCTGTCCATTACAATTACATTGCTAATAAATTCCATTCAGCATCCCATGTCCTTATGTTCACTAGAATGTAAGCTTTTCAAAGCAGGTAACTTGCCTTTTTCATCCTTGCATCTCTAGCACCTAGTATGGTACCTAACACATAACATCTCAACATGTAAGTGTTGAAGGTATGGATGAATGGTTAAATTAATAAGGAGATAAACCACACCGACTGTCAGATCTGGAGGGGTTCTAACCAACCACTTCATTTTTTAGATGGGAACACCAAGGCCTAGAGAGACTGTGTCATTTGCTTTAGATTATGCAACAAATTATTGGAAGATTCAGAACTCGATTGTAGGTCTCTTTGGTTTTCTCCTTTACAACATGCTACTACTGAACAAACATTTTTAAAAAACATGTTCATCAACTCCACATGGTTTCCTAAGCATTCTAACCTCTTGATTTAATTTTTAGTTGCAAGCTATTCTTCACATATACAAAGCAATGGAATTTAGGAATCCCACCAGTGCACTAAAATGAAAACTCCATGAGGACAGGGAATTATATCTGTTTTGTTTACTTCAACATGCCTGGAACTTAGAAGGTGCTCAGTAAATATTTGCTGAATATAATTTCCTTTTCAGTGATGAACAATTCTTCATAGATAATGATGGTTAGCATGGATGAGGTTAACAAATACTCAAATGATCACATATTTTAGTAAAATTGTTCAGTGAAATGATATGCCTCTTTCTCTCCCCTTTCTTCTTTCATCTGTAAAATGGGAAAAAAATGTGCTGGATACGGTGGGTCAAGCCTGTAATTCCAGCACTTTGGGAGGCTGAGGTGAGAGGATTGCCTCAGCTCAGGGGTTCGAGACCAGCCTTGGCAAGTTGGTGAGACCTCATCTCTACAATAAATCACAAAAATAAGCTGGGCATGGTAGTGCATGCCTGTAGCCAGCTACTTGGAAGGCGGAGGCGGAAGGATCGCCTGAGCCCAGCAGGTCAAGGCTACAGCAGCCATGAGCATACTACTGCACTCCAGTGGACAACAGAGTGAGACTCCAACTCAAAATAATAAATAAATAAATAGAGAAAAAAATGATGGCATTCATTTCATAAGATTATTGTAAAGATAATAAGGGATAATATGTACAAAGCACTTAGCATTGAGCTTAATACATAATTAACTCTCATAAATGATAGCTGTTAAGATGGATATGATTTCTTCAAATTAAATAAATAAGGGCCCACATAAGAAGGAGTTGGAAGAAGCAAAGACGAAAAAGTTGCTTTATGCATTACACCTTGTAAAATATTCCTGCATGCATAGTTCTTTATGTGCTTCAAAGTTTGCAAATTCTATAAGAGCCGTAAGTTCCAGAAAGCATCTGGAACATCATAGATACGCATATGTATGTTTTTTCCTGGAATTTTTCTTGTGAAATTATAGAGGCAAAGAGAAGACATAAGTAACATTCAGATAAGCATATGGTGATTATTCCTGAAATGTTGCTATATTTAACTTTCAAAAAAATTACCTCTCCACGAGTTCTTGTCCATTCCAGCAAAGGGTGTCATTTTCCGCCACAGGGCTATGGCTGCAGATGTAACCAGGCAACGCACTATAGAAGCTGATGAAAGATTTCAACTTCTGAATTAGCTCCCTAAAAAAAAACAAAACATCTGCGCATAAGAAGCAAGTAAACCCAGTATGAGAAAAGTTTAATTTCCTTATCAGCATGACAGAAAGGCTCTGCCAAGCTGATTAGAGCAATAAATGATTTTAAAAGACATTCTTGGCTACAAGGCCACAATTTGGTTTTTTTTTTTAATCAATAAAATGATATTAGAAAAAAGTTGCCTGCCATATAAGGTGCTGTTCCTATCAGAAGGATGATTTAATTCCAACATCCATTTTCTAAGACGTTCTGCTTCCATTTTTTGTTCAGAATGCTGTTACCTACATTTTCAAAGGTGCTGATTACAAGGCACACTGGAGCACTACATATCTTTTGGTTTCTGAGTGTAATTGAGTGCATTGATTGTAATTTACAATGCTATTACCCTAGAGATGGCCCCTTTCCATATAGGCTGTGGCTAATGGTTGCAGATCAGAATCACAGGGTGCCCAGAACAGTATAAGCTCTATGAAATTCTCCTGACAATAGGGTCAGAGAAACTCACATCTGCTATAGCAAGAAGGTCTCTTTGTTCTTTGGCTGTATATTGTGGTTCCTTTGAGGGGGTGGGAAAGGGAGAGAATTCTGGTATATTTTATTGTTTATTTGCTTTGGTTTTTCTGCTGCATATAAGGTGTGTGTGTGTGTGTGTGTGTGTGTGTGTGTGTGTGTGTGTGTGTTTTGTGTGTGTGTGTGTGTTTGTGTGAGAGAGAGAGAGAAACAGAGACAGAGACAGAGAATACATTATACATGTAATTGTATATAAACACACATAAATAACGGCAAAATTTTTGGTCTATTGCTCAGTTTCAGATCTACATGGACACACAAAGCAAGACACCCTAGACTGGAGAGAAGTGAATATGTTTATAAAGGAATATTAAAATATTTATGTAATAGATGTCCAGTGGTAAATAAAAACAAAACACACTTTATTTTTTAAAGCAATGTTCCTGATAGAAAGAAAGTAAAAACATTTTTTATACCCAAGTCTACCTTATTTCTGTACTAAGTTTGGAGACTTTGGTCAGGGAATTTTCTAGTAGTGAAGTAATTATTATACTGTCTCCACGATAATAGTGAACTGGCCAGATGTACAGGCCTCTGTAGGAACCAGAGGACTGAATCTCATTTGAACACTGGGTAGAAGTCCTGAGCCCAGGAATGCCTTGTAAGTGTTGTTCTCAGATTTGGCCAAAAAAGAAAGAATGGTGGAAATATCTTTTTACACTTAATTCCATTTTTCATTTTGTTACTGTTTTGGTTTAGTATGACTTGTCCCCACTAAAACTCAAGTTGAGGCTTGGTTCCCAAATTGACAGTGTTTGGAGGTGATATCTTTAAGAGGTGAAAATGGATTAATGTCTTCTCTGCAAGGCTGGTTTAGTTCTTGAGGGAATGGGTTAGTTCCCATGACAGCAGGTTGTTATAAAGCCGTGTTGCCTCTTGTGTTTGTCCAGTTCCCTTCCATTTCTCCACCATGATTTGACACAGCATGAGGCCCTCATCAGAAACTGCCAGATTTGGTCACACAAACTTGAATTTCCCAGCCTGATATAGAAACCTCTTTTTAAAAATAAATTACCCAGTCTCAGGAATTCTGTTATACCAACATAAAACAAACTAAGACAATTACCGTAAAACTATTCATTTCAACTAATGATTTAAGAGGGTCAGGTAGAGAGAGAGGGCTCTCAGCACATGATCACAAAGGCTTGGGTCACAGCAAAACCAAGGTGATGAACAGAACAACTCAAGAAAGGTTATTGGGCCATACATAACTCCTGATACCCCAACAGTTGATTCCTGCTATGGCCATATCCTCTTGCAGTCTACTCCTGCTGCTTCAGCACTGTCAATCTAAAACGAGAAGAGGCTCAATATAGAGCCCTGAAAATAAAAGTCAACATTATAGTTTCTCACAGAGGAAAAAGATGGGTTCAATTAACATCTAATAGGAGAGATGCTCTGTTTTACAAGGTAATAATACAGTTCCCAGGAGTGGAAACCAAAAGACTAAAGTCTGAGGCTGAGTAATTCCCCCCACTCCACGAGGAAACGGAATATGGCCATTAGTCTATGGGAAACAATGACCCTCTCTTTAATGAAAGAGTTTCCCTTAGGCCTCCCACCTCCAAATCCTCTCTCACTAACATAGCACATGGCAAGAAAAATTGAACCCATAGAAAGGCCTTCCAATTTGATTTCCCTAGAAGTTAAAAAAAGTAAAAATAATTCCCTGAACTTCTCCCAATCCTTGCAGGTTTTTTTTTTTTTTTTTTTTTGGCTGATCATAAAGATTACTGGCAAGTTGAAAAAGATCCAGATGAGGTTTGATCTAAATGTTAAGGGAATGAGAGGTTGCAATAAACATAAGACATCCCACTCTAGTATAGAAGGGTATCATCTGGAAGGGTCAAGGTAAGAAAACCACAAAGAATGTGAATAATGTGAACACAGTCTGGGTCATCACATTCTAGAAGTCAGGGAATGTCTTTGAAACTTGAACAAGGTAACTTGGGAAAATAAAAGGTCGTCTTAATTCATTACCTCCATAGCACGTATAGGATAGGTATAGGAAGAGACTGTGTTTTAAAAATTTACTTCTGAATGAGTTATTTTGAGTTTACAACTCAGTTTTATTTATTAAGCATGTTATAATGATTGGTTGGGTTCTCAGAACAGTTCCTTCAACCTGTTAAAAGTGCTGAGAGCAACTGATTTTGGAGACTGTCCCAGCTGAGTTGCAAATGCCAGTTACTCCCTCACTTACCCAGCAGTGAAATCTTAGGCAAATTCTAAACTTCTCTGAGTTTTAGTTTCTGTAAAATGAAAATAATGATAGCACCTATCTTGCAAAGTTACTGTGATGATTAAATGAGACAATACATGTAAACTGTTGAGCATAATACTCATATAAGTAGTCACAGTACCTACACAATAATACACAAAGTGATCCCTGCACAAAGTGATCCCTCCGGGTTAGCCATTGCCAATATTACCATTATCATGAGTCTCACTGGCATGCTCACAGCCACCACAGCTTCGACCTGCTGGACTCAGATGATCCTTCCGCCTCAGCCTTGCAAGTAGCTGGAACTACAGGTGCGCGCCATCACGCCTGGCTAATTTTTTGATTTATTGTAGAGATGAGGTCTCACCATGTTGCCTAGGTTGGTCTTGAACCCTGGGCTCAGGAAATCCTCTTGCCTCGGCCTCCCAAAGTCCTGGAATTATAGGCATGAGCCACCGCACCTGGCTAAGTCCCTCATCTTTTTGACATGGGTATTTAATAAGTACAACCATGTTCTTTCCCAACAAGGTAAACCTCTTGACTAATTTGGTGTATCAGCTTGAATGATCTTTTAAAATCTGAGCCTGGTAGGAAGGTGGGGTGGCTCTCTCAGGTATCTGTGTCTAAAAACTTCAGAATCTGATGTGGAAAACTCAGATGAAGACAAGTTAGAAAAAGATAAAGTAGTCACCAGAGGAATGCAAATCAAAACCATAATGAGATACCACTTTCCACTCACTAGAAAGGTTGTAGTAAAAAAAAAAAAAAAAAGACAAGCCAGGCTCGGTGACTCAGTCTGTAATCCCGCGCTTTGGGAGACTGAGGTGAGTGGATTGCCTGAGCCCGCGGGTTCAAGACTCGCCTGGGCAACTTGGCGAGACCTCATCTCTACAATACATCAAAAAAAAGCTGGGCGTGGTAGCACACGCCTGTAGTTCTGGCTACTTGGAAGGCTGAGGTGGAAGGATCACCGGAGCCCAGCAGATCAAGGCTGCAGTGACTGGGAGTGGCCACTGCACTCCAGTCTGGGTGACAGAGTGAGATTCCAACTCAAAATTAAAAAAAAAAAAAGAACGACAACAACAAGTGTTGGTAAGGACATGAAGAAATTGAAACTCTCATATATTGGTGGTGAGAATGCAAACTGGTACAGCCAATGTGGAAATCAACCTAGTGGTTCATCATAAAGTTCAGCATGGAGTTACCAGATGACCCAGCAACTCCACTTATAGGTTAAAAACCAAAAAGATTAAAAATAGGTACTCAAGTACATGTTCATAGCAGCACCATTCACAGTAGCTAAATGATGGAACAAGACTGATGTCCATTCACTGATGAACCAATCAAAGGTAGTATGTGCATACAATGGTATATTATTCAGTCTTGCAAAGGAATGAAATTCTGACACATGTTATAACATGGATAAACTTTGAAAACACCATGCTAAGTGAAAGAAGCCAGTCCTGAAAGACCATGCACTATATCATTCCATTTATGTAAAGTGTTCAGAATAGGCAAATCTATGTAGACATAAAGAAGATTAGTAGTTGCTTAGGATTGGGAAGATGAGGGTTGGGGGATGATAACTAAAGGGCATGGGGTTTCTTATTGAGGAAAAGAAAACGTTCTAAAGGTTGATTGTGATGATGGATGCACAGCTGTAAATGTACTAAGATGATTGAATTATATATATTAGATGGATGAATTGTATGGTATGTGGATTAAATCTTTATAAAGCTGTTGCCCTTGGCCCTCCAAAAAAAAGGTAGAGAAGAGGTGAGAAATATGCCTCAGAGAAAGACAAGTTTGTCTACTGAGGTGAGCAATGCCCCTAGGAAAAATGAAAGGAGACAAGAGAGCTGGGCAAAGTCAGGTCTGAAAGGAAATAAACATAGAAGTGAGAGACAAAAACATATTTGTAAGAGCTGCAACTTTAGCACTGCAACAGCAATAAACAGTGGTTAAAATCTACTTCTTCCTACATCTTTTAAAATGAAGACTTTTGGCTTTCTTTCTCACTGTAAAATAAATAAATGCTCACTATGGAGAAATTAGAAAGTAAAGAAAGGTAAAAGAAAAAAAAATCATAGCCCCACCAGAACGAGATAATCACTGTTAATATTTGAGTATACTTCCTTCCAAACTTTCGAGTGAAGTTTTGCATTTATTTATTTAAAACCTATTCTTAGCC